AGGGTGACAATTGCAGTTGCAAGCCTAGTATCGGATATATACGCAACTCCCCCTCCATATTGCTCCCTTACAAAACCAAAAAAGGCCAGTAGCAGTCGAGTGTGTAGGCATGCAGTTGCAGACAAAGGGCAACACTTGTAGTTGCAAGCCTATCATCGGACACGCAACTTCCCCATCTCGTGCCGCTCACTTACCAAAAAAGTTCAGTTGTAGCCGGGGGTGTAGGCATGCAATTGCAAAGAAAAAAAATTCAGTTGCAGTCGGGTGTATAGGCATGCAATTGCAGTGGAAGACGACACTTGCGGTTGCAAGACTACTATTGTACATGTAATTGTAGTTGCAAGCGTATTGTGGGACTTGCAGTTCACCCCCTCTCCGTCAAAAACACAAGGCCAGTTGCAGTCGATAGGGGACATGCAGTTCCAGTCGAGGCCGAGACTTGGAATTGCAAGCCTAGTATCGGACATGCAACTTCCCACTCTCTCGCCGCCCACTAACAAATCAAAAAATGTCGGTTGCCGTGGAGTTTGTGGGCATGCAATTGCAGTCGGGTGTGTATGTATGCAGTTCCAGCCGAGGGTGACACTTGTAATTGCAAGACTACTTTTGGATATGCAATCCCCTCCCCCTCTCTGACAAAAAACACAAGGCCAGTTGCAATCGGAAGGGGGACATGCAGTTCCATTCAAAGGCGACGGTTGCAGTTGCAAGCCTAGTATCGCACATGCAACTCCCCCTCCCTCTCCCACCGCACTTAGAAAATAAATGTTAGTTGCAGTCGGGTATGTGGGCATGCAATTGCAGTAGGGGACGTCACTTGTAGTTGGATGCCGAGGGACAGACATGCAATTGCCCTTCTCTTGACAAAAGACTAATAAATTACGTTCAATGGCGACACTTACAATTGCGCCTAATAGTGGGCATATAAGAAAAGGATTTTAAATGCACTAAGAAGACAAAATATAAATAAAATAAATAAGAAACATGGATTTTTTATAAAGTAAATAAATGAACAAAATAAAAATAAGAATGAAACAAGAAAAATGGTAAAAATACAAATGCAAAATAAAATCAATGTCACAAGAACGCCGATATTTTTTTTGTTAAAAATCACTTATGAAAAGATAAATAAGAAGCAAGAAAATAAAATAAAAAACACATAAATAAATCCAGAAAAGGCCAGGCTATCACACATCCCTGCCTACGTATAAAATAAAGAAGAACAAAGGAGCGGACAAGACACACCCTAAAACAGCCCATCACCAAAAAAAATGGAAGCAAACTTATTGGACATGAGAGAAAAAATAAAACAAACAAAAAAATTACCAATTCTTGGTCGCTTTGAAGACATGGAGTTGCATTCTGGGGCAACACTTACAATAGAGGTCCCATTGCTACCGAATCGACTAAGACTTGGCTAATTCTTGGTCAACTAAGAATAACAAATTCACATAAAATAGATTTTTTGGATTAGATATTTCCATCTATACTTCTTTTAGACTGACATACTTAACACAAAGCCAAAGCTAAAAAACCTAGAAAAGGAGACATGGGTGCTTGTTCTATACAAAAATGCGTGCGTGTACGCACATATTTTTTTTCTGAAACAAGGCAAAAGACTTGCCATTTCATTGATTAAGGGAGAAATTTTTAGACAGAAACCGCAAAGCGGTGAATAAAAGGACTACTCTCGCGGCATTACAACACCCAAATGCTTCGCTCCAGCCAAAGCCCAAAGCGATACCTCCTGCTTGATTTTGCTGATGATGGTCATGGAAGGGGCCGCTGAGTTGCGGAAGACTCTAGCATTGCGCTCCGACCAAACCTCCCAAGAGATGAGCATCATGAGGGAGGCGAGCGCCTTGGGCGAGCTGAGACGGATCTGCAGGTTAGCGTTCCACCATTCTTTGACCGAAGCCCTTGTCACCCAGGTAGACGTGGTGATGTGATGCATGCCGAGCCATGGGAGGACGTCATTCCAAATGCGCATGGTGTAGCGGCACTGGAAAAGCAGATGAGCCGCGTTTCTTGGGTTTGCTTGCAAAGAGAGCATAGACCGCAATTAGGCCAACCACGGCGGCTCAAGCGGTCCGAAGTCCAAATCCTATCTTGAAGAACGAGTCAAGCAAAAAACTTGCACCGAGGGGGCGCCCACACCGTCCACACCGAATGGACAAGGTCCGAGGTGGTGAGGCCTTCAAATTGAGCCTTGTAAGCCGAGGATGCAGAATATCTCCCATCTTTGGTGAACTTCCAAATAATTGAGTCTTCAATGTCGTCATCGAGGGCCACTGTTGCTAGTTTGTCCCAAAGGTTAGCAAACTGTTGGATGTGTTCAAGGGAGAGGCCATTAGAGCTGTCAATATTCGCAATCCATTGATTGCTGGCCATAGCTTGCTGAACCGAGGAGTTTTTCTTGCGAGAGAGGTTGTAGAGACCGGGAGCTATGTCACAGGGGCACAATCCTCTTAGCCAAGATGAGTTCCAGAACCTCACTGTCCTTCCATTTCCAACAGTGACTGTAGTGGCCGCCGCAAAGAAATGACGGTCGTCATCCGTGCACGGCAGTCCCATGCCAATCCATGGCTTGCTCTTATCTTTCCACTCAAACCATAACCACCGAAGTCTCAGGGCCCTAGCAAATTTGTTCAGATTAAGCACTCCCAAGCCGCCCTTATTCTTTGGTTTGCAAGCGAGGTCCCAGTTTACCTTGCATTTCCCTCCAGAAACCTTGTCCGTGCCCGCCCAAAGATATGCACGGCGGATGCTATCAATTTTCTGAAGGACCTCCACCAGTATGTCAAGAGGAGTGAGATGATATATTGCGATGGCCGATAGGACAGCCTTGACAAGAACCGTTCGGCCTGCAGCAGCCACATGTCTCCCTTGCCAAGAAGGGAGCTTGCCCGCGATCTTATCTTCAAGATGCTGGAAATGGATTCTCTTGAGCACATATGGAAAAAGGAAATTCTGGTTCTAAAAAATTGATGCTGCACTAGAAAAACTACATAAAACACTATACATTTAGGGATATTTTCTATCAACAACAACCACACGTACGCACACGGATTCTAGGAAAAGAAAAAGGAGAAAAACTCACAAAACATGCTACTGCAGTGTACGAATTCTTTTCCTTTTCACTCTTAGGCCTCCTTTGGTTTGGAGGAATTTTGTAGGATTTTCATAGGATAGGATTTCTATAGGAAAAATTCCTTCAGAGCTCTTTGGTTTGTAGGAATGAAATCTTATTCATATGGAGAAATTCTTCCTATCCTTCACATTTCATAGGAAAATAAACATTAGCCTATACTCAATGGAAAAAATCCTATGATGTGAATTAAAAGGCATCTCTTTTTCTATTCCTATGCATAGCATTTAAGATGCATGTCATCTCATTTCTTAGACTTTATAAACTTCGCAGGCAAAAAAAAAAGATACACCGTTCAAAGCCCGCCACTCCCCTGCCTAGCCCACCCAAAGCTGATAAGAAAAACAAGACACGAAAGCAGCCCACTAGTCCGTCCATCTACATGGGCCAATTTACAAATAAAAAGCAGTTTGCACGCATCTAAAAGCAGTAGTAGATCTAATGGTCTATGAGTCGACTGAGACTTCGTGAAGTCTCAGTCGACTGATTTTTAGCAATACCATATGGTCCGTCCAAAGTAAGTACTCAAGGTCATATAGCAGTATGGTAGAACCGCGTGCACAACAACTTTCGCTCGGTGCATGACAACCACGATGTCTTGTGCCAGTATGTATTGATGGTTCGTGTTCCTATAAACTGCAAATACCACCAACGTCCATCACGCCGCTCCACGACTGTGCCACACCAGCAAAGATATTTTATGGACCTCCCATATTCGCATGGCCCGATCCCTAATTCCAGCAAGAACCCTAGCCGCTGCAAATGACCAACGCAAACCAGGCTCCTGATCCTGTCGCTCTCCCCATAGTACCCTGTGCGGACCGTGGAAGGAATGTAGTGACATGCGTCCATGCCGCGGGCAGAACACCAGAAGAGGTTCTACAAGTGCTGAAATCACAACCTTGAGGCATGAGTTGGTTCCAAACTACTTTGGGGCAATTCCAGGGAAAATAGCGATAATTAAACCCAGAGCCCGGACTCGGGTGAGCACAATGAACAATACCTTGATTTGAAATATAAAAGAGTTAAAAAAATTCCAATTTTTGTGCGGTGCAAGATGCTTCTGTTCGTGAGCTCCGTGCAAAATTTTGTGAAGTTTGGACCTTCGAGGAACTCATGGCAAAAAATAAAAAATCAAGCGTGAACAATTCGATTTTCAAAAGTTTCTCAGACATCTGAAATTTGTCTTTTTTGCCACGAACTCCTCGGATGTCCAAACTTCACAAAATTTTGAACCGAGTTCACGCACAGAAGCATCTTGCACCATAAAAGAAATTAGAACTTTTTGAATTTTTTTATTTTAATTCACGGTACTGTTAATGCCTTGGCTCATCTGAGCCCGGGCACCAAATGGCCGCTTCCGGAAAATAGCTACTGTCCGTTGTTTTGGTCATGTCTAAATGCCTTTCCATTATATCACTTGCAGAGCTGCTAGCCTTCTTATGCCTCTTCTATGTCATGTGTCATAATTTTCTGTTACAAAGTCGTGCCACATTATAGACGGTGATTGTGCATGTCTAACTTCATTGCGATTCACGTCGTTGTCATTGCTTTTCTTCATAGACAAAATGTACTGTGACATAAGGGGTTGACGGAATACTCTGGCGTCTAAGGAGAGACGTGCAAGTACATCTTTCCTGTTAAAATTTCCTGAAGTATGTGCTCCCTTTGGACACGTGGTCACGCCACACAATGTTTTGCTAGTACAGTCAAGGATCAACACATCTCATTAATCATGAAGGACTACCATGTATTTAATAATATTGGAAGAAAAGGATTTCAGTATTTCCTACATTTTTGTATGATAAGTACATGAATGCATGAACAATTGCACATTATTGATTTGATATATTTAAGATGTATCCGCAACAAAGTCTTGTATCACAGTTCTTACCGCGACAGGAATCCTAACCGAGTGGGTATTTCCATCTGACCATGTCAAGCTCCCAAAGGTAAACCCGCCTTGCACTCTCCGCCTTGTAGTAAACGACACCCTAAATGTCATGCTTGTGCTACTACCTTTGGCGAATGTGATCATTGATGGCTCCACGGACATGACCACCCCTGCTGGAGCTTCAAGCACCGCATGATAAGTCGTTCCGACCGCCCCCACATTTGTGATAGTGCGTTGAACCGTGACATGGTCCTTGAGGTCCGGAATAGCGATCGACGGGAGATTGAGATTGAGTTGGTAGGATTCGCAACCATGTAACAATCCTATGGCGCAGTTAAAAAACTTGTTGTACTCTCTTGCATCCACGTTGTAGACCAAGCCAGGGTCACTGGCTCTGTCTGGGTCTATGTGGCCACCACCAAAGTCGAAAGGATCAGCCACCTTCCTCGGGACCGTCTCTGCTTCGATTGGCGCACCAAAACCATCGGACACTGATGCTAGAATCATCACAAAGAAACAAGTTAGTAATATAAGATAAACTATCTGGAAGAACTTTGCATATAAACATTGTGCATACCTGTGGTGACAATTGCAGACTTGATCATAGCAGGTGACCAATCAGGGTGAATCGACTTAAGCAGTGCGGTCACCGCAGAGACATGTGGACATGCCATGGATGTACCAGAAAATAACACATAGGAGCCACGAACAGCTGCTAAGATGCTGACACCTGGCGCAGTTATGTCGGGCTGTCAAAACATCCACAGAGATAAAAGTCTTAAATCCGGAGACGGTCACAAAAGTTAGTTAAAAGCACCGCAAGTATTTGCGCAAAAAAGGGGGGACCGCAAGTGCAATTATTTTGTCTTTGAGTTATAAATTTCACAGTGGGAGTACCTTGAGTATGCCTGGATATAGGGGGCTCGGACCTCTGGAGGAGAATGAAGCAACCCTCGGCGATAGCACCCCGTCTCCGACAACAGTCATGGTAGGTGACACCTTCACAATGGGATTCCTATCATGACAAAAAACATTCACAAATTAGTTATTGGAGAAAGAAAATATATGACGATCGACCCTATTCCAGGCAACGCGACTTCTCACTCTGTGTTCTCCCAGTAAGATGCAATTTTCTGTGCGATTTCGTAGTCTACCAGAACGCATGGCATGCCGGCCTTGCACGCCGTCAGGGAGTCCAAGCTGTTCATGTTGTATTGCGCGAAGATGAGGCCCTTGGCTCCGGCACTCACGGTACGGTTGATGGTGCGGGGTAGCTCTACCCGAGGCAACATGCTCGGAGCCTCCCTCGGTGCATAGCACAACACGATCTTGCCGGTCACATTGCTTGACGCTAACCACTCCTCCGTGCAACTGCGCAAAAGTTTTAAACTGAATATGGTTCGATAAACTGTGGAACTAATAACAATGTAACTTGTCAATTGAGTGTGTTATGTCGCTACCTTCCCGCATGAACAAGCTCCTTAAAGTCGTCGTTGTTCAGAGTAGAGTTGTAGTAAAGAGATTGTCCCTGCGTTTAAGATCAAAGACAAATGAGAGAGTTAGTTTTTCTTTTTCAAGAATGTTCAATGAATGCCTATATGATTATGTTTCGGCGCACGCTAATTTGACACTTGACGTATCATACGACTTCCCGCCAAAAAAGAGTAAAACCTATACGATTATGGTAAGTCAGTTGTGTTCTTTCAACTAAAAACAGTTTGTTAGTTAACCTGTACCTAGCATATGTAATGATGTAAATTATCGACTTTTATCTAGCTGGGATGTTTCTATTCCTTGAGAGTGGATGTATTTGGGTGCATTTTCCTATATAATTTTTAAAAAGGAAATATCAGAACAAGTACTTGGAGAAACGTACATACCACAAGCTTTTCTTTGTTTCCGAGAGATATGAAGGTTGGGAAGGCCCGGTCCATCGTGCTAGCGGCCACTGTCGTGACCCATGGCGCGACATTCGTCACCGTTTGTGGTGCCGGGCCATCATTCCCGGCAGAGAAGATAACTGAGATCCCTCTCAAGACAGCATGAAGTGTCCCAGGGAACTCATGACCGGCACCCCCTCCCAGTGAGAGCGATAAGACATCTACACCATCGTGTATGGCATCGTCAATGGCTGCGAGGATGCTCGCGTCACTAGCTGCTGTGTTCGGGCCCCATAACACCTTGTAAATTGCTAGCCGTGCACGTGGTGCCCCGCCACGTGCCATGCCGGTGGCTAGGCCGGCATAGCTCACACCCTGCACTTCTCCTCCGGCAATCGTCGAGGCAACATGAGTGCCATGGCCGCTGAAATCCCGAGGTGACATGTACTCACCCTTGAGGTGCATGGCATTAATTCCCTCGGAGTACCACCGTGCGCCGATGATCTTTCTATTGCAACTCGTTGCATTGAACGCTGTTCCGGTCTGGCATATGCCTTTCCACCGTGCCTGCACAGGGCCGTATCCGTTGTCATCAAAGCTTCGTGATTCAGGCCATATGCCTGCAACAAAAACAAGCACGGAGTCAACCGATGTCCATTTCTAATGTCTGACTTGGGTTTCAACAACTTCTGGATTTAAACTAGAAATTTGATTACAAACCTGAATCGATCACCCCGATGATGATATCTTCACCGTAATTCGCTTTTCGGAGGAGGTCAGTTTGTTGTGGTGATTTGTTGTGTCCAAGGCCAAGGAAGTCCCAGCTTCGAGTTGTGTGCGCCTTGTGGTAAGTGTTAGGCTTCACACTTATAACTTCAGGAAATTCTACAATTGTAGTATCCAATGTGAATTACTCCGCAAAAAACATATAAAGACACCCCACAAAAAAAACATATAAAGACAGCAGATCTTTATCACTTACTTGCCAACGTCCTAGCTTGGGTTTTGGTGAGCATTGCCGCAAACCCAGAGAATCCGTGTTTGTAACTGTAAACTATCGACTTCAAGGATTCATCTTTGCTGTTGCAGACAAGACATAATGTTAGCAACAGTACTAATATATAGTAACATGGATTACTAGCTAGCCAGTACCTCCCAAGAACGGAGGTTAGTATGTCATGGTGTGACGCCGTGACAGCAGATGGATCGTCATGTTTCTTCTCCCCCATGTACACTATGTGGAGCTGAAATAAACATGCGAAGAGAGGTCAAAAAACAATTTCAGAACAAGCCAAAGTTAAAGTCTTGCGAACAAGGAGGAATCATAACTTACTTTGCTCGACGCATTTGCGGAAAGAGGCAACAGTGTGACCACCAGTAGCAGAGCACAGCAAGAGAAAGCTATCCTCGAATCCATGTCTGATCTCGAGAAGAGTGTTATGTTCTTCTCTCCTGTCGCGTGTATGTATATATAACATAGGAGCCAGGTGCTATCCATGGGGTGCAAGAAGAAAGAAGAGTTCAAAAGAACATTGCGTGTTTCAAAAGAACACGTGATCGAGGAGAACAATCAGACTAGACGACCATGTCGTATCTACCACCATTAAACAACTTGAAACAGACTTAATGACACGAGGTCGACCTGAAAACAACAAGCTTCGTTTAATCAGTGGGCATAAAATTATAAGATCAACCGTGGGGGCTGCAAGAACCGTTCAAACAAGGATATGTTTGCATTGTCAGCGTTAGGTGGTACACGTACCTGAGAAAGAAAGAGTACACCAAGGTCCTGAGAGGAAGCACCGTGCTCATCGGGCATCCAGGCCGCGTCCATGTCATGGCACCAGCGCATTGCTGGGTCTTTACAAAAAAAACGTTAGTAAAGTTGATAAAGGTGAAGGCAATTTAGAAACAAAAATTTGACCCATTGAAGCATTCCACGCGTAAAGATTGGTTTGGCTGGTTCGTTTCTCTAATAGCTAAATTCTATTTTTTGGAAGAACCTCTTCGAGAGAGCAGGGATTCCTGCAATTTCTATAAAAAGGATAGAAATGTTCCAGTGTACATGTAAAACTACGCCCAAAAATCTACACAGATGATGCAATTTATAAGAAAAAACCAACCCAAAAACCTACCAGAGCTCGAGGATTGTATAAAAACAATTCGTAGGTTCGGTTAGGGATATGAACAGAGTAAGAACATCTACACCTGGGCCTCTTGTATCCATCTCAAACGTCCGGACAGGTCGTCCGGCCACTGACCGGTAAAAAAAAATTGACCTAACCAGACCTCTCAAATCACGGACAAAAGCCCGGGCTGACCGACACCCCTCATATCCAGCCCAAATATAGCGCGAATATGGGGCGGCCCGGGCACGCCCATGCGCGTCCGCTTGACAGGCCCAGCCCAACACCGACCCCACAAAAACCCTAATCCAGGCGGCGAGCTCAAACCCTAGCTCACTCTGTCCCTCTCTCTCTCGCTCTATCCACTCCTCTCCCTCTCCCTTTCTGATCGCATCCACCACGATGAGTAGCTCCGGCAGCGGCTCTGGCTTGATGCTCGACGACGAGGAGGAGATGCCCCTCCGCATTGCACTGGAGAGGTCCAAGGTGGAGACATGTGGTAGCTCTGGATCTGGAGCGTCGACGCAGCTCCCGCGTCGGCGCAGCGCGGATGCCGGAGCTGGACCCTCCCGTCCTGCACGCAACGATGCAAGGACAGCACAGTCCGCGCCGGTCCTGTGTCGTCTCCTTCCCCTGCCGGCCGCTCCTCCACGCGGTCGGCGCTGGGTGCTTGTGCCCGCACCTTCGGCCCGCATGAGCACTCCAGAGTCGGAGGCGCACGTGGCAGCATGAACTGGAGACGGACGCGACAGAGCAGTCCGCGTGCCGCCTACACGGGACGAAGTCGGACGCTGATGAGGATGCGTGTCTCCTCGCATGGGTGTACCACCACTCCCTCATGACGGCGGAGACATACGCTCGCTGCCTCCGACGTAAGAACACTAAGGCGCTCCGGCTTGTTATTGAGCAGTCGGTGAAGGAAATATGCCCTAGAGCCAATAATGAAGTTGTTATTTATATTTCCTTACATTATGATAAATGTTTATTATTCATGCTAGAATTGTATTAACCAGAAACTTGATACATGTGTGAATACATAGACAAAACAAAGTGTCCCTAGTATGCCTCTACTTGACTAGCTCCTTAATCAAAGATGGTTAAGTTTCTCTCTCTCTCTCTCCCTCTCTCTCTCTCTCTCCCTCTCTCTCTCTCTCTCTCTCTCTCTCTCTCTCTCGCTCTATCCACTCCTCTCCCTCTCCCTTTCTGATCGCATCCACCACGATGAGTAGCTCCGGCAACGGCTCCGGCTCGATGCTCGACTACGAGGAGGAGATGGCCCTCCGCATTGCGCTGGAGAGGTCCTAGGTGGAGACATCTGGCAGCTCCGGATCTGGAGCGTTGCCGCAGCTCCCGCGCCGGCGCAGCGCGGACGCCGGAGCTGGACCCTCCCGGCTTGCGCGCAACGATGCAAGGACAGCACAGTCCGCGCCGGTCCCGTGCCGTCTCCTTCCCCTGCCGGCCGCTCCTCCACGCGGTCGGCGCTGGGTGCTTGTGCCCGCGCCTCCGGCCCGCATGAGCACTCCAGAGTCGGAGGGCGCGCGGCAGTGTGAATGGGAGAGGGACGCGGCGGAGCAGTCCACGTGCCGCCTCCACGGGACGGAGTCGGACGCTGATGAGGACGCGTGTCTCCTCGCATGGGTGTACCACCACTCCCTCATGACGGCGGAGACATACGCTCGCTGCCTCCGACGTAAGAACACTAAGGCCCTCCGTCTTGTTATTGAGCAGTCGGTGAAGGAAATATGCCCTAGAGCCAATAATGAAGTTGTTATTTATATTTCCTTACATTATGATAAATGTTTATTATTCATGCTAGAATTTTATTAACCAGAAACTTGATACATGTGTGAATACATAGACAAAACAAAGTGTCCCTAGTATGCCTCTACTTGACTAGCTCGTTAATCAAAGATGGTTAAGTTTCCTGACCATAAACATGTGTTGTCATTTGATTAACGGGATCACATTAGTAGGAGAATGATGTGATGGAGAAGACCCATCCGTTAGCTTAGCATAATGATTTTTAAGTTCTATTGCTATTGCTTTCTTCATGACTCATACATATTTCTCTGACTATGAGATTATGCAACTTCCGAATACCGGAGGAACACCTTGTGTGCTATCAAACGTCACAACGTAACTGGGTGATTATAAAGATGCTCTGCAGGTGTCTCCGAAGGTGTTTGTTGGGTTGGCATAGATCAAGATTAGGATTTGTCGCTCCGAGTATCGGAGAGGTATCTCTGGGCCCTCTTGGTAATGCACATCACTATAAGCCTTGCAAGTAATGTGACTAATTAGTTAGTTAAGGGATGATGCATTACGGAACAAGTAAAGAGACTTGCCGGTGACGAGATTGAACTAGGTATGAGGATACCGACAATCGAATCTTGGGCACATAACATACCGATGACAAAGGAAATAACATATGTTGTTATTGAAGTTTGACCGATAAAGATCTTCGTAGAATATGTAGGAACCAATATGAGCATCCAGGTTCCGCTATTGGTTATTGACCGGAGATGTGTCTTGGTAATGTCTACATAGTTCTCGAACCCGTAGGGTCCGCACGCTTAACGTTCGATGACGATTTGTATTATGAGTTATGTGTTTTGGTGATCGAAGTTTGTTTGGAGTTCCGGATGAGATCACGGACATGACAAGGAGTCTCGAAATGGTCGAGAGGTAAAGATTCATATATTGGAAAGTAGTATTCAGACATCGGAATGGTTTCGAGTGGTTCGGGTATTTTACCGGAGTACCGAGGGCTTACCGGAACCCTCCAAGGAAGTATAGGGCCTACATGGGCCTTAGGGGAGAGAGAGGGAAGCCCGCGAGGGGTGGCACGCTCCCCCTCTAAGGGAGTCCGACTAGGGCTAGGAGGAGGGGGCGCGGCCCCCTTTCCCTTTCCCTCTCCCTCTCCTTCCTCTTCCCCTCCGGTGAGAAAGGAAATGGGAGGGGGCGAATCCTACTAGGAGTGGAGTCCTAGTAGGACTCCCCCCCATGGCGCGCCCCTCCTGGCCGGCCGCCTCCTCCTCCCCTCCTTTATATACGGGGGCAGGGGGCACCCCATAGCACATCAATTGTTCTCTTAGCCGTGTGCGGTGCCCCCTCCACAGTTTACTCCTTCGGTCATAGCTTCGTAGTGCTTAGGCGAAGCCCTGCGCGGATCACATCACCATAACCATCACCACGCCGTCATGCTAACGGAACTCTCCCTCGACCCTCTGCTGGATCAAGAGTTCGAGGGATGTCATCGAGCTGAACGTGTGCTGAACTCGGAGGTGTCGTACGTTCGGTACTAGATCGGTTGGATCGTGAAGACGTTCGACTACATCAACCGCGTTAACCTAACGCTTCCGCTTTCTGTCTACGAGGGTACGTGGACACACTCTCCCCCTCTCGTTGCTATGCATATCCTAGATAGATCTTGTGTGATCGTAGGAAAATTTTGAAATTGCATGCTACGTTACCCAACAGTGGCATCCGAGCCAGGTCTATGCGTAGATGATATGCACAAGTAGAAAACAAAGAGTTGTGGGCGATAATAATCATACTGCTTACCACCAACGTCTTATTTTGATTTGGCAGTATTGTTGGATGAACCGGCCCAGACCAACCTTACACGACCACGTTCATGAAACCGGTTCCACTGACAGACATGCAACTTGTTTTGCATAAAGGTGGCTGGCGGGTGTTTGTTGCTCCAACTTTAGTTGAATCGAATTTGACTGCGGCCGGTCCTTGTTGAAGGTTAAA